TAATGTCCTGTTTTTTTAAACATCATGTATAACTGAATCTGGACTGTGCTTTTCACTTAGATCTTGGCCTCTAAAAATAGCTTACTACATTTCCTATATAACTTTAAAATCCATCTGTGCACAGTTCCACCCTAAAAATTTGTGCTATGATTTCAGATAGTTAAGAGAACAGGATGACACACTTTCCAAGTTGACTGAAGAGAGAGACTATAATATGTCACTTGGGGTGTGAAAAGATGACATGTGCCAATTATATTCTGGTTGGTTGTACGGTATGTTCCAGTCCTCTAAAAATGGCTTTTACCTTTTCAGTGCCTGTTCCTCTAGTAATTAAATCATTGTTGATGGCATTTCTATATTCATTGCAGCAAATTTAGAAATGGAAATTAAACTGAGGCATTCTATTTCAGGTTTCAAACTAGTTTTCTTAAAGAAAAACATTGGATCCATTTCTGCCTAACGTGACACCAAAATCAGCATTAGACCATTTTTGATTATCTATCATGAGTCAGCCATTGATTTCTCCTCACGTTTCCTTTTATGTGAGTAATGAAGACTATCCTAATCTAGCGCACACAATTTATAAAATAAATGTGAAGAGACATAAGATACCTGCTATAGAGCTTGCATTGTCTTTTCATGTGAAATTCTTATTTATTTGTCTTATTTCAGTCTGAATGAGTTAAAAATGCTGTGCTTAATTTTGCTTTATGTGACACCATATGTATTAGGGAATGTTAATAGGATGTGATTTAATATGTATATGAACAATTAGTTCCTGGGGTAGCATAGTCAATGTATGTGACTACCTTACAGCAATAGTGAGTATATCTTTCAAGATGCCTCTGCATGGAAATAATCTCTCGTTGTCTTTGCAATTTTGAAACATTTCTTCTGTTTCCTTTGGCTATATGGCATCATATAGAGAAAAAGGGAAGTATCTGCAGGCTTTCAGAAAAACACTGTGAAAGAGGGCTGTAGCCTATGCTTGTTAGTGAGGGAAGACGCAAACATAAAACCTTTGGTTGGTAGAAGGATATAACAGTGGCTGGCAACCTGAAAAGAATAACTTCACATTGCAGTGGCTCCCTCAAAACACAGAGTACATTAGAATATTGTGACACTATGGCTGATGGAGTCTTGAATGGGTTTTCTTTCCTTCTACTATGACAAGAGCTTAGAACAGTAATATTTTCAAGCTCTGAAACCTTTTTCAAAAGCAGTATCTACAGCAAAAGTAGGTTAGCCAGTTTCTTTCTCTGAAATATAGCACATAGCACCTGGTATTCATCTAAGAATTTACCTGTCCCTGTTAAGCTTCCAAGATCAGACTTTTAGAGTATTCGGAAGGGGATGTGATGATATCACAATGCCATATAACTTATTTAATTTGCCTGAACATTCATATTGAAATTGAGAAATTTAAAGCAGTTGTGGATAGTGAGATGTAGACTGCAGATAGCAAAACTCACAGCGCAGATACTGAGATCCATTAGGGGGATAATGAGTAACGGCAGCAGGCCACCTGTGGATTTGTGCCTGGTGAGAATTAAGCTATAACTCTATGCTCCCCAATCAAGAAATCTCACTAGTTGAAGAAGAAACCACTGAGGTAATTTTATTCAATCCAGCTGGAAAGGATGACAACTCATGGTAAACAGCAAAAGGAAGCCGACATGTAAAACAGACATTTTAATACAGAGAGTTCTTTTGTTTTTCCTGTGCATGCCCAGCTAGTGCTGGCTTCACACTCATCGGTGGAACTGATCAGTGCAAAGGTTTTGGGGGAGAAATAGGCATTAATTGAAGTGAGAGAGGGAGAAAATAATAAATACCAGGGTGTACTTTGTAGTTGCCTCGCAGCTGACGTCATGGCCAGCTGCGAGGATTCCCTCTGTGAGGCGGGACTGAGGAAGAGAGTGATCCCACTTCTCATGCAGATTTCTGGTCTCCAATGGCTGACAGAGGGCAGGATGACCATTTAGACCAGTGGTTCTCAACCTGTGGGTCCCCAGGTGTTTTGGCCTACAACTCCCAGAAATCCCAGTCAGTTACCAGCTGTTAAGATTTCTGGGAGTTGAAGGACAAAACATCTGGGGACCACAGGTTGAGAACCACTGATTTAGACAACGAAACTCATCGTTTTCTGAATGGATTATCATGTCCCATCCTTGGGATGAACAAAGAGGGGGCATTTGGTCCCATGGGCTATATTGTTAGTAAAATTGAGCCATGAGTCCTCAGCGAATGAGTCCAACGCCTCTGGTGCTAGTGTCCATTGATTTCCATACCAAGATGAGAGGATTATTAAGTCCATTCCTGGGAAAAGGGGAAATTGCATTGTGGAGGAGCGGGACAGGACCTTCTGGCATGCTAGATGTCTGCTGGGTGATTAGTGTTCATTTATGTCCAGGTGACTGCACAAAGGGTGGGCGGCCCATTGCTGGTACTCATTATTCACCTAATGGATCTTGGTATCTGCACTGTGGGTTTCACTATCTGTGGTCCTGATCCCATTATCTGCAACTGCTTTAAATTGCCAATTTCAATATCACTGATGGCAAATAATTAAATTGACAAATTAGCTCTGGATTTGCCCTTAATGACATGTAACCAGATCAGATTTGTTGAGTAACCACATGTTTGAGAGGGATTTTCTTGCTTTTCATTCCAGTCCCCTGGTTCACAGAGTTGCCAAAGGGTACATACTTTTTACCCCTTGTAAAAAGCCTGCCTCATTTTTCACACATCCTCATTTAAGTAATCTTCATCATTTCTTCTGTTCTAACTGGTATTAGTAACATCAGTCCAATTGAATACAGGAAAAAAACTGCAACACACACTTTTTGTTGCATATGCACAGTGCTGAGACAAAAACAGCAGCTGTTTCTGGGACGATCTGGCTTGACAACACATTTAGTCATACTGATTGATATGGGGACATGTGGCATCATATCCATGTTGCTGGGAAGGCAGTCTGTTGATCAGGCTAGTGAATCTCTGTCAAAGGTTTTACAGTATAGAGATAGGAACAAAGGAACAAAGAACACGGATGTATTTACCATAATTATACAGGAAATAATTCCATTCTTGTTTCTGCTTTTTGCTTAAAGATGAATATTTCTACCACACACACTTTTTTGCAATTTAAATAAAAACAATAAGCTGTGTAGGAAGCTTTTGAAAACCTCATTGTTAAAAGTAAATGTTCTATTTCTCAGCTCCACAGTCACAAATGCCAAATGAAGGATCTTTTTAAAGGCTCAGCAGTTCTACTGCCCACATAAAATTATATGGAAAATAGTTTTCCAACTCATTTTAAAAGATCCAGTCTCCCACAAAGGATTGTGCTTTCCCAGATCCTGTTCTGATCTCAGGATCTGAATTGAGATACAATTTTCCCTGCAATCTTTGGTGAGCAAGCTCAGGTTCTATGAAAATTTGGAAAGGGGGCTGAGCCCAAAGGGCACAATATTAAAAGCCCATTAATAGAGTATAATTTTTATTTTTCCGTGTCAGTGGCAAGGGCACAAGGAGGGAGCCATTCTAGTCTTCTTAGGAAGAGGGTTCCAAAGTCAGAGAGCAGTCACAGAGAGCAGTCAGAGAGCCTTCTCCATTTTTCATAGACAGAGAAAAGGACCTCTTTGAAAAATTTTAGAACTTGAATAGTCTCATGCTATGAAATATACTGCAAAATAATCCAGGGTCATATATCAAATAGTCCGATGACATCATAGCAATTCTTTAAGCTTTTACTTATATAAACAAAACTTTAACATGAGGAAGTTTCAATAATTCTCTTCAACACCTGTTATAAATGACTACCCAAAATAAAAGAATAGAAGTTAAAAATACTGTTAGTAATTTTTTTTCTGTGTAGCTATTGGTAAAAGCATTCTAAAACAAATAATGGCATGACAATAAAAGTTTCTCTCCTCCACTGAGATGAAACTGAGGTGAACTTGTATATGATCGTAAGTAGTCTGGCTATTCCAAGCATAAATGTAATGCCCAAAAGCAGATGTTGTCCGTTTTAGTGGGCTCGTAGATTAACGTTCTGCCTCTGGGACTCCAGAGGAGATATTTGTTTTGCCAAAAACAAAAACCAGAAGAATCTGCTGTTCATTTTATACTGGTTTTATTTTGTGACTGTTGTGGTTTAAAAAAAAATATCTATGATTTGTTTGTTTTAATTTAATTTAATTTTTGTGTGTGTCATTTTCTGTTATAGAGTTGACACAAAACTAGTCAGAGTCTGTATGTCATATGGTGGCATATAGAACCTTATCACATTGCCATAAGGATTTGCCACACATTGTGGTAAATCCATGTGGTTCTGGCAAGGCTGGGAGAGTGAAAAACCTGTTGTCCCATGCCCTGCATCACCTGACTTACAGCTGCCTTCATCCCATGGGGATGTTTCAAAGGCAACATGGGAAGCCTCCTGTTTTGCCAAGGCAACAGCATACACCACGTGCTCTCCCCTTTTGCCATGGAGCCTGACCGGAAGTAGATGTGCATCATGTAATGGCACTGTGGTGAAAGGGGAGAGCAAAAGGCCAATAGTCTCTGTCTATTTTCAAGTGTCAATCACCTGACATTTACACTTATTTTTTAACAAACAAAAAATAGAAGCAGAATTGTCTGAACAAGTCTATTACATTTGCAAACATATTAACAACCAAGGAGGATCTACCCAAGAGAAATGTTCCCTCTTATGTGATAATGTATTTTCTGGTTTTGGGTGTACCCTTGATTCTGCATCCATAAATACATTGGTTGACACGGAACATTTTTATAAGACAGCAATACACTGGCATTATCATTGGGGTCAGAAAATACTCAGGATTAAGACATTTGATGGAAGTGTTTTATGTGTTCAGATTAGGGCTAAATAATTCCGAATAATCTTCATAAATTAGTTGTCCTAAATTGAATTTCAATCTTAATAAGGTTTTATCAAAACACTTTATGGCTCTTTTCTGTTATATAAGTAGTACCTGTAAGACCAGCAGCTTCAGCAGACAAGAAGGCACTCCATGACAAAAGGAAAAATAGACCCGTTTCCAACATGGGGAATTCATACAGCTTGGTAAACTTTGTCAAGTGCTAAAAAAGGTTAAGGAAAAGGAAGTGCAATATTGTACACATTTTTAAATGAGCCCTATAACAATATGTTGTGCATATATTATACAATATAATTTTCACAATCTCTGCATGGATATAATGCCCCCCCAACAATTTCAAAGAAATTTAAACAAAATTTAAGAAATGAAATTCAATTTTCTCCCTTCTTACCTTCCAAGAAGTAATACAAATATTTGGCCCATTACAAAATTCAGTTGGGCTAGTTGTTCCCAAATGTGGGTCACATGTTATTGAGCTATAACTCTCACAATTCTTGACCAATTTGTCATAATGGCTGGAAATTGATCTGGTTTGTAGTTCCACAACATGCAGGGGTCCTTCAAGGGACTACAGTGGTGACAAACACAATGCTTAATAACCAGATTCTGTATGGTCATAGGCCAATTGTTCTTCCAATAAAGAGGTGAAAAACCCTTGAGGGTTTCTCTTTTTCTCCCAGAATACTGATGAAATGTAGAGGTGTTGCAAAAGTCTTTCCACTACTTCATGGGATTTTGGTGATCAGATTACCAAGTGGAGGCAGGCATATTATGGATACATTATCACTTATTTAAAGACCATTAGTATTCTCCCTCAGGGAGAGAAATACTTCAGAATCTGAAACAATTTGCAGTGATGAATTTATGATCCTGACAAATTTATGTTTCTAGACTCTGTGGTTTCTAGAGTCTGTAGCAAAAGCTATGTTTTATTTATTTTAAAAATAGCTTCTATTGTGAATATTAAGAGTAAGAAACTTAATGAACAGTGTATCTGACAGTGCTTAGAAACATTGCTGCTCAGAGGCAACTGAAAAAATCTCTGTGATCATGTGGCAAAATCTAGCTTTAATTTTCCAGCATTAGTTCAGTTCATATGATGTCTAATTCTATTTCCATTTCTCTTTGCAATGTTTTCAGGTCACGGAAATGCAGCTGTGACAAAGTCAAATGGCAAACAAGATGATCAAGTCAAAATTAGCTCAAGGATTATATTATTTCAGGCTAAAGGGAAGGTCACTGCTAGCTCCATGGAGCGTATTTAGCATTAATTTAAGGAAGAGAAAACGGGAATACTGATCTGTTTCAATAAAGCAACATAAGAAAGATTTGATAAAATCACTTAGTGGTGGCTATTATTCATGTTTCCTATACATTTCTCTGTTATTCTGAGAGAAATATTGGAGCTTGATGGGCATGGGTAAGTAGAAGTTTCAAATTGGATCTCTAATAGGCTGAGATCTTCTTTGACACAGATGGAGGGTAAAACTGCACCAGCATACCTACACAAGAAATCCATCCAACATTGTAGGTATGAAGGCTGGTAGCACTATGATAGTCATTGTGGGAACTCTATCAGAGATCCCATGGCCAATCAATGGCTGTTTTAATGGAAGAAAGTGGAGTTGTGCTTAGAAGCTCTCTCACTGGTGTTACGCTATGAAAAACCTTTGTGCAAGGAGGTACTTGCACAACAGCTTAAGAAGGAATGGCTGTAGTAACACCTAGTTATGGAAGTCTAACCTTCTAAGAGGAGTTGATCACAATTTTTTTCCAAGCAGGTTGGTGAGATATCTCTGCAGCTAGGTTTAAGTGCAAGGTAAAGGTAAAGCTTTCCCCTTGACTTTAAGTCTAGTTGTGTCCAACTCTTGGGGGTGGTGCTCATTGCTATTTCTAAGCCGAAGAGCTTAGACACCTCCAAGATCATGTGGCTGGGATGACTGCATGGAGTGCCATTAACTTCCCGCCAGAGCGGTACCTATTGATCTACTCACATTTGCATGTTTTCAAACTACCCCGGATTCGAATCGCTGGCCTTTTGGTCAGCAAGTTCAGCAGCACAGTGGTTTAACTGGCTGTTCCACCGGGAGCTCCTTAACTGAGAGGCATTTTCTCTCATATTTGTCCACTTCTACAGCAGACTTCAGTCTAGTGTCCCAAAACTTTGATAGTTTAGGATAACTGAACATCTTCTGTATTATAATATTGCAAAGAGAAAGAGTAGAAAACATTGCGTTCTCCACTTTGCTAGCCAACACATCCATTTTTGGGTCCCCACAGAGATGGCTGTACCTTAGTATGAATATTGGTGGAAATTGAAACCATTTTTCCCTGATCTGCAAATATGATAGGAGTATTGTGAGCTTTGGGTTTGCTTGGGTTGATTCAGATCTTGGGAAGCTTTTCTGATTGCTTCTGCAATCCTATTATTCTTGCTTGCCCTGTTCATTTAAAAACATGCTATTATATAGACTTGTAAAGCTTTTGAATTTTATCTTGGGCTCTGCTGCAAGAGGGACCCTGGGGCCTGAGTATTGCCATCCAGGTTTGCTGCCTGCTCGGCCCTGGGCTTACCCATGAGGAGACCTGCAGCCACACCCTCATTCCAGCCAGCTGACCCAGCAGCCTCCAAGGAGAGGTCTGACCTAGAGGCCTGGAAGAGCTTTGTTGGGCTCTGCTGCAAAAAGGACCCTGGGGCCTGAGTATTGCCATCATTCCAGCCAGCTGACCCAGCAGGGAGAGAACATGGCCCCCGCAACCTCGCCGCGCTGCTACTTTAATGGCCGCGCCACCCATTGCCTGGCTGCCGGAATACCTGTGCCGGGTGCCTCCATAGCCACGCTGCCCATCATTTGGACATTGGAACACCTGTGCAGGCGCTTGTTTTTGGGGTTCCCCTGCCTCTTCTGTTGCTTCAGACCACTTTTTCATCAGCCCACTTTGGTTGGGATTCAATGTTTATTTTTAAGCTCTTTTTTGTGTTTATATTTGAATTATTTTATGTTTACTTTTAAGCTTGTTATTGTATTTATATTCTAATTATTATCTCATGTTTATTATTGTATGTTTAAATTAATATGTTAATTGTTTAAATTCATATGTTATGTTTATTACTATATGTGTAATGCGGCATTGTATGCCATGAATTGTAAGCCACCCTGAGTCCCCCACTGGGATGAGAAGGGTGGGGTATAAATGTAGTATAATAATAATATCTTCCAGAGAAAACCCATCCAGGAGAGGAGAATGTAAAACAGGAAATGTGAAAGAATATCATAGTTTTGCAAAGACCAGTTAAGTTTCATAGCATCATGCTGTGTTTCTATTTTAGGAAGAAATTGCTCGAAGATATGCATATGCATATCTATAGTGAGCATATGCTTCACTTGCCTCCATTATACCAAGCAGTGCTTATTACCTGGAATAAAAACAAACTATTAAAACATTGTTCAGATCCCATCTGTCTACACTGTCATATAATGCAGTTTCATAATGAAGTTTAACTGCATTGAACTGAATTATATTAGTCTACACAGCCATATAATGCAGTTCAATGCAGTTAGACTGCATCATGACACTGCATTATATGGCAGTGTAGATCGGTCCTCAGTCCTAAAATATAGAGCAATGGTTTTAAAAACATCTCAAATAAGAACAACTGTCACATCTTTTTTAAAAAGGCATTCTGGGATAAAAATATTTTTGTTTAGCTACTGAAGGCTAAAGGTAGGGTACAGATTCTTTGATTCTTTGGAGGGATATTGTTACTTAGCCATAGAAGCGAGAAGTGAAATCAGAAAATGAATGCAGAAAGATGGTAAAAAGATCTGGAAACCAAGCTCTATGAGTTTTTAAAGAAATAGCAATGTTAATCTCTTGCAGAAGGAAGGAAAGGGGAAAATGGAGGGGGGGGGGAAGAAATATGGTAACAGTTTTAAAACTTATTTTCATTTGTTAGCATTGGCTTTTATAGTTATAAAGCCACTTCTTCAGTTGCAGAAATTTTATGAGGAAAAGCTTAGGGGGCTATGTTTAAATATATGTATGTTTAGCTTGGAGAAGATTGAGAGGTGAAATGATAGCCATATTTAAATCCTTGAAGATATTTCAGATGGGAAGACAGGGTGAACTTCTATTGCTCTGTTCTGGAGACTAGAAGATGAATCAGGGGATACAAATTACAAGAAAAGAAATTCTATCTTGACATTAAGAATAGCTTCTTGACTGTAAAAACTGTTTGAAGTGGAATAGACCTCTCTTAGGAGTGCTTTAGTCCTGTATTCCTGCCTTGCTTGGGTGGGAAGTGCAGTAGATGGCACTTGTGATTCCTTCCCCACTCTATCATTCTATTATTTTAGCAGCTTTTGAGAAGGGGTCCATTAGTTCCCCATACTCCAAATCAATACTAAGGTCCCATCTTCACTGCCATTATAATAAGGATTGTACTGGATTATATGGTAGATTCATATAATCCAGTTCAATCTGTATTATATGGCAGTGTAGATGCGGCTGAAGAAAGCAACATGTATACCGTATTTTGCAATGTATGCTGTATTGGGTTGTGGTGGGGGGCTTATCACTAGAACTCCTCAAATAGTGCAAATGTGCAACACACTATCCCAACAAGATTACAGAATAAATCCCTATGTAGGAAAAGATGCAGGAACATTTATCTTTCCCCACTAAAATATCATTTGGGGGGTGGGGGTGGAAAATCTTTTTCAGTGGAAAAATACAGTACATAGTATTAAAAAATAAAATCCTCTTTCCAAGACTTCAGATCTCCAGTATAGCTTGCAGCTTCAGTTTGCAGCTTTATCGAGTGTTTGAAAAAGGTGCAGGATTTCATTGTTTGTTTAAAAATCTGAAGAAAAAAACCCTACCCACCTTTCCACTTTAGAGCTTTGGCACGAGACTGTATGATTCTCTTCTAAGGAAGACATGCACTGACATGTTACTCCAAACAAAACATAAATGTGAGTGAATGGCAAAGCAAACGTAAGGAAAATACTGAGAAATATTGTTTACTGTGTTTTGCTCAGCAATCAGATACAATACTGTTTTAGTCAAAAATTGAGAACAATGTGGGAAACTCTCTTGGTTTTTAAATGTTACACAGGCCTGCAATAAAATTAAAAAGGTATATTAGCCTGATTGCTCAAACAAAAGTGACCTTATAACACTTTCTAAATTCCTCTTGTAATTTTAGATATAAATACAAAAGCTACTCTGGGCTATGATGAGACACATTCACAATGTATGTATTCATCAACTAGATCAAAAACAAATTTCTTAGGAGACACCATCTGGCACCCTGCTGAGCAGTTACAGCTGCATTACTTAGACCAGTGTTTCTCAAACTCTGCTCCTCCAGATGTTTTGGACTTCAGCTCCCATGATTCCTAACAGCTGTTAAGCTGTCTGGAACCTCTGGGAGCTGAAGTCCAAAACACCTGGAGGAGCAGAGTTTGAGAAACAATGACTTAGACTGACACACTTGTAAAGGCTTTTTACTCATGCCCCCACAAGTGTAGCAAATGTTTTCTCATAATCTACCTATAGCCATCAGCCACATTGAGAGATGGGATATATTCTACTTCTGATTGGACTGTGGCAGGATGATGTTTTCAACCCACTCCTGCAGCAATCTCTGGTTTGATATTCAAAGGCAGGGCCCCCTTCTCGTGGAATAGAATCATAGAGTCAGGAAAGACCATTCAGTCCAACACAATCAAAGCACCCCTAAGATCACTGGTAGGAAAGGGCTGGAAACAGTGCACCCCAGTCATTAATAAAATGTACTTCCATGCTCAATAGGACTGCTGGCTTTTAAAGGATGCTTGTGGGGTCAAGTCAGGGGATGATACCCATTCATTATCTGTGCTGTGTTGTTTTGGCATTTGTCTTTCTGAAGGATGAGATTGAAGGAGGAGGCTGAAGGCCAATTATAGAAAGTTATTTGCCTTGGATATTTCATGCAGTGAATTCTTCAGCATTCTGTCTATCAGTGGTGATATTAGTACATCAATGCAATGTGTTAAATCAGTTGAACAGAAAAACCTGGGTATGTTTAAAATGATGATGGTCCAGATATCACTGAAATCTTAATCAAAGAACTTTGTTTTTAGTGAAGCAGTTAACAGTTGTGTGGCAGTATTTGCTCTTACAGCACCAGATCTTGCAAACTTGCTGAATTTTAAGTGCTTTGGCAACAAAGGATATTAAAGCAGCAACAACTGCATAGGCAGACCCCATTGCAAATGATCCAGCAAAGATGCCTAGAAAATTCCCCACGGATTGAAAGAAGGCAGCAGCGTCAAAAGCATTGGGATTCTCCTTGGGACTGTAAATTGATATCGAACTAAAAAGAAGACAAAGAGAGAAAGAGAAATAATGAATTCAATCACATAGCACAGAGGCTAAAATCAAGAGCTTAAGCATGTACTAGCAATTGCTTCTCAGGGCTCCCAGCAGATTGGAAAGTCGTGGGGAAGATGAAAGAAGGGTTTATGTTTTAAAGCAATATTGTGGGCCACTGTCATTTCCTGCTTGTCAGTAAACACTTTTTTTGCACTCCAAGTGTCATAAAGGGTATTATTGCCAAGCCAAGTAGACATTAAAACATGGGAGGTATGTAAGGAATTTATGGCCAAGATATATAACTTTGAATTATTTATTGGCCATATGTCTTCGGAATGGTTATACATTCACAAATATCCCTGATAAAAAGGCCATTTTTATAGCTTGCTCACAAATGGGCAGTACAAATCATGGTATGCACAAAATCTGCGGTAGTGATCTTGTCATAAACCATTATAGTTGTTCCATTCACTAGCTTTACCCTTCATAAACAAAATTGTGAGCATGTCAACAGCTTCACAGTATGAAGCCCCGGGGAAACACAAACCAAACAGTTCCTCACGGAAAAGAAAACTGATGCCTCTGCCAGAGGTCCTGCTTTTTATCTGAGTCTTTGGTGCCTGGCATCACGATTAAATTCTTATGGGAAATTAACGTTGTGCCACAGTAGGAAGATGGTCTACTTACAAGATTTTCAAGGGCATCAAAATTCCTGTTCACCAGTAGGCACTCAATGCTCAGAATGCTAATAATACTGCCAAGTTGACATGCTCTTCTTTTTGTTATAACATTAAACTTAAGAGATATGCAGTAGCCTCCAGCATCCCAAATACTAATTAAGAAACATTTCAGTTTTCTATGGCCCTTTTACTTTTAGCATGCTAAGCCTTTGCTACTGGCTGTCAAGCAGTATTTAGAACAGGATTCTCAAAAGTTTGTAATGCTGAAAAATGCTTGGTGTCTCAAACATTAAAATTTAAGATTTATTTGGAACTGATTATTAATATTTTAGACTTATGAATCTCAAGAACTTGCCAGCCTAACAAACTCATGTATTCCCAGGAGCAACTAGCCATAAGAGATGCAGCATTAAAAGGAACTCCTAAAAAGGCATATTCATTTAAAGTTCTTAATAGTGCAATCTTATACATGTCTATGTGAAAGTGAGTCACATTAAATCAATGGCCCTCTTCTCAGGTAATAGTGCAAAGAATTACAGCATTAAAGAACTTGTAGTTCACTAGTTGATTAAGTCTTGATTTAAATATTATCACTGGCACATGGTTGCCTCTGCTGCTTCTTTGGTTAAAATTATAACAATTAGCAAAAACATTTGAAGCTATGCGGATGGTGTAATCCATGAACTACCTACAATTATATTCTTATAAGACATTAATGTTTTACTATAATTGGAAGTTCTGACAGGGGCCATACTGGTGTATGAAACAGCCAGTGATTCATGTAATGAGGAGAATTATGAACTGAAAGATGTGAGAGCCAATAACAGGAAGCAAGCAACCACAACTAGAGAGTAATATGTAACTAATATGTTAATTAATTCTTAAAATATTTTACCCTATCCTATATTGAAGATCTCAGGTCAGCTCAGACAGGATTAAAACATTTTACAAGATTTAAGTAAAGGTTTCCTCTTGATATTAAGTCTAGTCGTGTCCAACTCTGGGGGGTGGTGCTCATCTCCATTTCTAAGCCGAAGAGCTGGTGTTGTCCTTAGATGCCTCCATGGTCATGTGGCTGGCATGACCGCATGGAGCACCTATTGATCTACTCACATCTTGTATGTTTTTGAAGTGCTAGGTTGGCAGAAGCTGGGGCTAACAGTGGGAGCTCACCCCACTCCCTGGATTTGAACTGCCGACCTTTCAGTCAGCGGGTTCAGCAGCTCAGTGGTTGAACTTGCTGTACTACCGAGGGCTCCATGATTTAAAGCAATTAAAAAAACAAACTAAGACCATATTAAACTGTGGTAACAAGTTCAAAACAGATTTTTAAATAATTTTAAAAGAAACTTAAAGCTTTTAAAATTATGTACACCATATTTGGGATGAGTTAATGAGGCCCAAAGGCTCTGATGAATAGCCATGTCTTAACTTGGTGCCCAAATGACATGAGTGTTGGAGCCAACTGAGCCTCCAGGAAGAAGGCATTCAGACATTGGGGTGCCCATGGCTGAGTGAGAAGACCTTCTCCCATGTCCAGACACATTACATCAAGCTCCCTGGTAAGGCACAGAGGAGCAACCTGGCAGCACATCTTAATCTTCAGGCAGACATATATGAGGAAAAATATTCTCTCAAATATCACTTTTAAAATTTCTTAAAATGTATGTCTCACTTTACCCCGAATACTCATAGCAGGTTTTTTGAAGATCAATAGTATAATTCTGAATCTATTTCCAGAATGACTTCCTAAGTGTTTGCGCTGCAGATAGTGCCATTTTCTTTTGATTGACACATGGAGTGCACATTGAAATCAGATACCACTTATACGGCCAGCATTGAAAAATATGTCAAGTCTTCACAGATGCTGAATTATCTGGAACCCACTTACTGAATAGATGGGCAATTGCACAGGGACCCTCCAAAATGCTGTGAGCAGTTGCCAGGAATATGTGATGTTGGCAAAAATGTTACTCCATACAACCCAGTCCATCTATGTGTTAAGCAGACTTCAAATGCCTATGTAAATTATCACTGCAGAGAAATGTTCTCAATGGCCTCTATTTGGACCCTATACAATTTGAATAAAAGGATGAGGATGCTCACATGTGTTCAACTGTTTGCAAATGAATGAAGGTTAAGATTAAGAACCAAATATTTCCATTTCCATAAGAAGAGGGGGAGGTTACAGCTACACTGTAGAATGAATGCAATTTGACACCACTTTAAATTGCCATAGCTCAATGCTATGAGATCCTGGGATTTGTAATTTAATGAGGTACCAGCACTCTTTGGCAAAGAAGGCTAAATACCTTGTGAAATTATAACTCCCATGATTCTATAACATTGAACTATGGCAATGAAAATTGAGTCAAATTACATTCATTTTACAGTGCAGATGCACCCTAAGACTCCTTCCACCATTATGATTAGCAGTGCAATAGGAGCTGAATCACACTTGCCTTCCATAGTGTTTGGCCCTGTTGGAAGGCAACATCATATGGGAGAAGCAACACTAGCTTGTTAACCTCTTAAGAAGCTGTGGTATGGGTCAATACAGCCAAGCAAAAATAAAACCAGCAAAAAAAACCAAAAAAAACACAATTGCTACTAATTTGGCTGGCAACATATTCCCTACAGTAGCAAGGCAGTATGGCACCTTTTTGGAGGCATGAAGGGTGCAATTGCACTTATATCATGCTAGTGAGCTTCCACACAAGAACTGATTGGTCCCACTGAGAATAGGATATCAGATTAGATTGGCTTTCAGCATGATCCAGCACATCTTTTCTTATGTTTTGTGCTTGAATAAACTTTTTGATACACATATTTTTCTATAGAGTGGCTGAGAGGTTAACAACTTTGCTTCCTGGTAGGACAATGTACGTAAACGTTTGTTTCATGCACAAAATTATTCAAAATTACTTTGTGTAAAATTGCTTTCAGACTACATGTGTAAAGTATATAGGAGATACACGCACACAGGTACAAGCATTTCAAAATCTTTAAAAAACCCAAAAATACAGATCTCTACTGCTACAAGCATTTCAGATAAGGGATACTCATTCTGTACTTTTCAGACTGGTTCCACGATAGCTATCATTCCAGTGACAAGTAAAAAATTTTTTTTCTTGCAAATCTACACATGTGACTGATTTTAAATAGCTGCAAACTATTTTAATCCGTTTCAGTCTTGGACCTATCTCTGTGTATAAGAAAAGAAGCAGTATGTGATTGACTGAAAAGAAAAAATCCCCAACTGTTAGGGATGAACAAATGCAAGGGCTGAAATAGTTGTTCCTAGACACTAGTGAGGGGTCATCCTCAATTCCACCTGCCTCTGTTATGACTATGTACTGTGTCTGTTCCACCCTAAGTCCTCTTTGGGCTGAAAAGGGTGGAATATAAATACGCTAAACAAACAAACAAATAAAGAAGGGAATCATGCCTTTGTCCTATGACTGTCGAGAAGTCCTCCCTCCACACCAACTACCATCATCATGGTCTCTGAGGGAGACAGGAGGGGCCAACATCTGCTGGACCCAATCCTTTTCCATGCCATTCTTTTTACTTGGATTAAATAAATAATATTCCCTATTCTGAAAACCAAATTGTCAAATAGAGTTAGGAATGACCATCTGCTAGCACTGCTACTTTCTCCAACTGTTCAATGAGATACGCCCATCACCCTCCCAAATGGATGCTTTCCCCCCCCAGCATCCCTGACTTGGAAAGCTGCAAGAAGAAAAGCAAAATAACCAACTGCCAAAGTAAGTAGCAAATTGTTCTATAATCTTTTATTGAAGCATGAGGTTTTTTGACACCCAGAAGAATAACTTTCTATTTCTATGTAATTGTTTTTAAACGGTGTAATTTTCCTTGATGCTGCTACAAAGCAAGAAACACTTAAATGAATGGAAATCAAAAGAGAGTCACAACTCATTCATCTAAAGTACATTTTGGATTTCTGAGTGCCTTGGAAGTACAAAACACCAGTAGTGGGTCTTATGTAATGCAGCTATAAGAAGGATCTGAGCACTGAAAATAGCTATGCTTGCTTGTTTAAGAAAGAAAAAAAATCATTTGCAGCCAAATCGAACAAAAGGTTGCCAAATGATAGGATGTTTGGCAAAGGCCTGAAATTCATTACAATCCTCAGCAATGTTCTGATGCTTGAGGGATGATGAACTTCCTCCTACTGCTTGTTTTGAATGGATATATTTTACTGAAATGTGAACGCAATACATTTCTTTTCTATCCCCAATTTTACATGCAAACACCCCAGGCTCACTCATTCCCCAGTATTTGTGGCAGCTGGTGA